GGGTGCTCGGAAGTTATGGGCTAGCTGTGCTTCAATGGTGTGGAAAAGCACTTTCCATTAAAAGTGGATAGTCATCAAAGCAATAGTGAAAATTCTTAAGTGCTGTCAATGGAGACATCTTTGCTTTTTTATAGTGGCGCTTATGGAATGCCCTGACACAAATCATAAGGGCTTTGCAGCCCGTTACTTCCAAATGGTGAGTCTAATGATAAAAACCAAATATTGTGTTACCCACTCATATCTATTATTGGGCTAAATTATTGGATTAAATCGTGATCCCCAGAGCTGAAGTCAAAGGCTTTTGCCCAGAGCAACGATTAGGATATCACAAGACGCAATCTCCCTGATCCTGGCAGAGGAGCTGAGGAGAAGCATGGGAGCAGGGGGATGGGAGCATAAAGGGTGCCTGAGCCCCACCGATCTACCCACCACGTGAGGGCATATGTTGTGATTGTGAACTTCTTCTGCATGGACACACACACACACACACACATGTATATATATATATGTCTGTGGGCCCTGCTGCACTGCTAAGCCAAGGGCACTTTGAGCCCTGCCCATCCACATAAGGAAGCCCAGCATTGCTCTGTATGGATTTTTAGTGCCATGCATGCAGTGCTTCACTCAGGTTTCTCAAGGTAAAGGCAAAAGAAATGTAAGCACTGCTGCTAAAAATAGCCAGTTAGGCCCTCGATGATTCATTTGTTGGTGGGGAGTACTCATAAGTGCCTCTCTCTAAACAGTCTATTCTCTGGCTCAGTATCTGCTGTGCCAGCTTGTGTAGGTCTCTCCAGTCTTGCTCAGTCTGTTTTCCTATGGGTTATATCTTCTTTAGCTAAATATATTAGGACAGTCTATTTATCTCCCTCCGTGGCAGCAAGACCCAAGCATGACTTCCTCCCACTGTAGGAATTTCATAAACAATTCACTGTCTATCATTTCCTTGGGAGCATAAAGCATTACAAAAAACTCAAAACAAAAGAAAAACCCCAACAAACGAAACAAAGGAATCATTCCTTTCTCAGTTTAGACAATTTGGAACAATAACAGAAACAGGAATATGCCATTAAACTTCACTGGCAGACCTCTTTGCATTGCTCTGATTTACACAAGTAATAAATAATTGTACTGAATGACTTCTTGAGGTACAGCTAATTCTGTGAGAGAAAGGAGGGTTCGTGGGATTTAACTCCCCATCCCCCAAACATACACACTCAGAGTGATGACCAGGATTTAAATCACAGGTCTGTAAGTTGCCATGGTTTGGGAGAAAATGAAATTGAGCCCTTTGGTGACATCCTTGTCGTGCAAGCAACTGTTTATGAATGTATAACTGAGCTTATTGATAGGCATTTTGAACTTGACATGGGGTCTGTTTGGAGCTGTTGGATTTTTTATTACCTGTTACAATATCACTCTATTTCTTTAACTATCCTATTTTTTGGTAAGCAAATTCTACACATCACTAACAACCCCTAGGGAGAATGAGGAAACAAGATGCTTCTTCAGTTGCACTATGGAGTTAACATCTGCTCTGATGTGAAGGGCAGGTGAAACGGAGGTGGTTTAGCTGAAAGCAGGGAAATGGGTGTATATTGATGTTACTGACGTGAGCCCCAAACAGAGAGGAGCCAAAACCTGCTTTTCCTCCAGAGCATCCCTTCAGCTGTGTGTGGCTGAGTCAGGCCTTTCCCGGGACTGAAACCGTCCCTCGCTGCTCGGTGTGCCCATGAGCACCAGCTCCAGAGGGAACACATCTGGGATCCTGTGATTAATGATTCTTTCCTTCTTTTTTAGTTTCTTTCTTTTTTTCTTCTAATGAGATCTCATGTTTGACATCTTTTATCTTTTGATGTGAGGACTCACTGGTAACCAATAAAATATAGCTGGTTTTAGTTTTTGCTGCTAAGGGTCATTTTTTGAGGTATTTAGGTTGCAGTAGGATAAGTGGGGAGTAATGGATAAATCCTTTGGGTAGTGACACTTAGTCACCGAATATTTAGTCTCCTCGGTTTAGACAAGCTGCGTAACCAGGTTTTAACATCATTATTTTGTTGGTAATGAAATAGTATTTTCTTGATACATTCACTGATATTATTTGGCAGTCACTTTTCTTATTTTTCTCTGTAGACACAATCTGTCTTTGTTAGGAAACTTCGTTACCACTGTTGAAAGCAGTGATTTCTTTAGGCAGTCTGCACATAATGCTACACGTCCTTATCAGAGCACAAGAGATATCAGTGTATTTTTCTTCCTGTTTGTAAAAGATTCCCCAAACACTTTCCCTCCCAAGAGCACATTCATGATCCATACTGCACATGCTTAGACTACACACACATCACGTTAGCAAGGCAACATCGGCAAACTTGTGATTTATCCCTGTTTTCTCTCAAGAGCCAGGCATGCACAGTTCCACGCTCCAAGAGGAAAGCAGCCAAAAAGCACAGCAAGACTCATGTGCTGCGGCTCCCTCTGAATGAGTAAGCAGCTGAAAATAATACCACTGAGTGCTGCTCCACATGCCTGGCACTTTCGCAGTAAGTTCTCGGCAAATAGATGATCTCTAAGGTCCCCTCCAACTCAAAACATTCTATGATTCTATGAAATAAATATATAAAGCAATAAATATATAAATAAGCCCTTGCGTTGGCTCAGAATGCCTTGGGGAAGAGGTAATAGCCATTATATGAATGTGAAACTGGACATCAAATCCAGACTCTCTCAGTTGCAGCAACGATGAAGCAGATGTTCAGACCAGAGGGATCTTCAGAACATCCGTTCCACATCCCGTTCCTCCTCCCCAACCAGCTACCAAGACTCTCTAACACAGTCTACACCTTTATTTGCTTGTGGAGCATCTAAGAAAGCTTTGGATTCACTCATGTACAGAAACATGCAGCTAGGTTTGATCCCTGCCCAGGCAGAAAAACCATGAGGTACTGTGCAAATTCTTCTAAAAGAGGCTGTGGAATCTCCTGCCTAATTACACTAAACTCTGGAGAAAGAAGAGGAGATGAGAGGAGATGAGAGAGCGTGCCTGTGATGTGCTGTGGTGCCTGTGACCTCAAATGCCTGCAGCTCTGCACCTGGATCCTGGTGGGCGCAGGCTTTTCCACCCTTGTGAGTGGCCGCCAACTGGATTTAACTCCATTCATCACAACGCTTCTTGCCCAGCCATCCAGCCAGATTTTTACCCAGCGAAGAGTACACCCGTCTGAGCCAGAGCCATGAGCAGCCAGTTTCTCCAGGAGAATTCTATGGGAAACAGTGTCCAAGGCTTTACTAAATTTCATGTAAACAACATCCACAGCCTTTCCTTCATCCACTAAGCAGGTCACCCTCTCATAGGAGATCGGGCCAGTCAAGCAAGACCCACTTTTCACATATCCGTGCTGACTGGGCCCGTTCAGCTTGTGCTGTACATGCCACGTGATGGCACTCAAGATGATCTGCTCCATAACTTTCCCCAGCACCGAGGTCCGATTGACAGGCCTGTAGTTCCCCTGATCCTCCTTCTGGCCCTACTTGTAGATTGCCATCACATTTGCTAGCCTCCAGTCAGCTGGGACCTCCTTCGTTAGCCAGGACTGCTGATAAATGATGGAAAGCAGATTGGTGAGCGCTTCTTCCAGCTCCCTCAGTACCCTTGGGTGGATCCCATCTGGCCTCATAGACTTGCATGTGCCTAAGGGGTGTAGCAGGTTGCTAACCATGTCCTCTTGGATTATAGGGTCTTCATTCCACTTCCTGTCCCTGTCTTCCAGCTCAGCAGGCTGGGTACCCTGAGTGTTAAATAAATTCTTTGTCCTAGGTTTCCAGGAGCAGAGTCTCAGATTTATGATTCCAGATTTAAAAAATTAAATAATTTGAATGGTACAGCAATAGGAACAGCTTGAGCTGTGTGCCTCCGGAGAGGGATCCTGAATAAAGGAATCTCTGGGCATTTATACCCTTACAGACTATGCACCCATTCCTCATGTGCTGTTCACATGCCTTGGACACGTCTCTTGGTCCAATGGCCATTTTTGGTCTGGGTTCTTCTTTGTTCCTTATTGGATTCTTTCGCTGTTCCCAGACAGGCTGTTAGCTGTTTCTTATCTTGAGGAGTTGCAGCTTCTGCTAACAGTTGAGGCCCCCTTATCTTCCAGCTTGCACTGTTCTCAGGGCCTCCCTTCATGTAACTAATCAACAACTCAAATTAAGTTCAACTTTCCCAGGTGATAGGAAGCAGCTTGTGGCCTACGGTTTCAGCAAATTAGGCTACTGATGCTAAACAAGACTGCTAATCCCAACAATTCTTAACAGTGCTAAGCAAGACACAAAGAATACAGTTAAAAGAATGAGGTTAACCAAATTTAGTCTGCAACAGAAGTACCTGAGCCTTTTCCTCATCCTTTGTCACCATGTTTCCCTCCGTATCCAATCAAGGATGAAGATTCTCCTCAACCCTTAGAAACAGGGAAGAAAAGGAAGGGAAAAGGGACATGGAGTGGAACAGGAGAAAAAAGAAGGAGAAGAGGGGAAGAAAAGAGGCAACAGAAAAGGGAGAAGAAAATTAAATGGGGCAGAAAGGGAGGGGAGAGGCGAGGTGAGACGAGGCTGTGACGTGCTGGGCGCCCGTGACATCACAATGGACAGGTCGCCAAGGGGTGGTTGTAAGGGGCGTCAGCAGGGAACAGTGCGCCCTGGGATAACGGTGAGGACGCACGCGGCGGGAGGCTGTGCTGGACAAGGGCCAGGGCAGAATCCCGGGCCCCCGGGTGGTGGGTTCCCAGCCTGCATGGAAAGCCCAGACGCTCGGGAGAGCGCCTGGAGCTGGGAACGGTGCCCACGTTGTTGGGACTGGCCATGGGCCTTGCGGGCTCCCAGCTGCCTCCTCCCCTCTCCTACCCGCCACACGATTCCTGCGGCTTCCATCCCCCCTTCCCCTGCCACCAGCTCCCTCCCTCCCAGCGCTTTCTAAGCCCCCTGAACCCCTTCTCTCCCTTCTCTTGCAGACCATGGCTGTCTTGCTTTCGCGGTTCCTCATTTGGCACCCGTGGATGGCTGGCGATGGGCTGGATAAGGCCATGCAGGAGCACATGCAGCAGCATGAAGAGTATCTGAATCAACAGATGACTTGGCTGCTTGAAGAGATGGTGCAGAGCGCCCAGGAGCCGAGCGGGGCGGCCAGGGGAGCCCTGCTCTTCACTGTGGCTCAGCAGTGGCAGTTCTGGGCCTTGGTTGGAGGCCTGGTCCTGCTCCTTAGGTTCTGCTGGTGGTTCTGGAAGATGACATATCAGAAGCTAGGGGAGTTTCTTCTAGGCCATTTTATGCTCTGTTGGCTCTACTGGTCACTCTTGAAGAGAAACCATAATCCAGGAGGCAGCAGTAAGCACGGCAGAAGGCTCGAGGAGGAGGAGGCGGAAGACTCATTACCAATGGACGGGTTTTGGGAGGAGCAGCTGTGGCCGCTGCCAAGCAGGGAAAGCACATGCATGATGGTGGAAGAGCTGGTGAACGACCTCCTCTCTGAGTGCCAAATACGGTCCGGCAATGCCTTCGTGCCGCAGCTGCAGCCAGCTGTCGGGGTGGGCGGCTTCCAGAGTGCCCATGGAAAAGACTTTGTCTATATCCTGCTTGTGCCCATGAAGCCACCCCCCGGGCACTCCTTCCACCTCGAGCTGGGCACTGGAGGGGAGATGCTGGTGAGGAACTCCCGCCTGCGAGTGGAACTGGAGTGCGTGTGCACAAGGGAACGGCAGCTGGGGGACATGCTCTGCTTCCTCCACAGCCCTAGGGAGAAGCTAATGAGCAGCCAGGGAGCCAGCCTCCTACAAAACTTCTGCACCGGCTCGTACCTTGACGTGCAGAAAACTGCCCTCTGGCTCCAGTACCTGATGACAGCAGCCTCCATTGCTGTGTGTGAGGAAAACGCATACAAGCTGACGGTGCTGCCCTCCCCACGCTTCTGCAGGCTCAGGCTGAGCAGCTCCAACATGACATCCCTCACCATTGAGCTGATCTTGGTGGTGCCGGAAGGCAACTTGCACACATTCGTGACCATGGAGTAGGCAGAGGTCAGTGTTGCCTGTGCAGCTTCATTTTCTTGCTTTAGCACATGACTTAAATGTTTCCATGTTTAGATGACAAGCCTTTCAGAGCAGAGTTTAAATCCAGAGCAGTGACTATGCTGACTTTAACTGCAACTGAAGGAAAGAGACTGTGGAAACTTCTTCACGGAGTTTTGTAAATAATGGTTTGATACCATTATCAAGCTCCCCGGCTCCCGGCCGGTCGGCGGCCCGCGCTGGGCCGGTGCCACCCACTGAGGATGGCGGCGGCGGAGCCGACTGGGGAACTTGGGGAACGCCCCGCTCCCGGGTGCCCGCTGGGCCGAGTTC